AGGTCCCTTCCAACCCAAACCAGTCTGTGATTCTATTTCAACAGCATGAGGGGTCTGACCCAGGCTGACACTGGGACCAGGCTGAGCTGCTGCCCTTGGTTTCGGTGGCCACAAGGGCTGCAGGGCTGGCTTAGCTCCAGTGCCGAGCTGTGAAAACTCGCTGCTGCTTGAACCACGGCAAGTTTTATGTGCCCTTAAATCTGCCTTACAACAGAGGTCTGGCCTCTCCTTGCCCCATGCTCCTGCGTGGGGAATCCTGGCCAAAAAGACATCAAGGACGTGCACACTGCGGCCAAGCAAGATGGGGATGGACAAGGGGCTCAGGCAGCACAGGAAGCATCAAAGAGGTGATTTTTGCATTTTCAGTTGAATTTGCAAATGTTGTGGGAATGGCCGGGGTGAGAAAGGCAGCGATGGGGAGGCTGTAAGGAGGGGAGACAGGTCAGCACCCATCAGCCACACAAGTGGCTCCTTCCCAAATTCCAGGGACAACGGTGCATTTCTCTTGGATATTGTCAGTCTAATCCAGACCTTTCATGTTGGAGGAGATCTGCCAGCTGCTAAGGAAAAGAATAATTTATTGTCCTTATTTTAAATTTAAATGAAGAAAAAGTTTAGAAGACGGGTGTTTGAGAAACAGGAAAGGCTATGAAACGTGGCTTAAAAATTTTTAAAATTTAAAATAGCTCATTCACATTTGCAGCCCTGGCAGTCTCTTGGGTAAGTACTGTATTAAGACAATTTTTTGGAAACTTTTATTATGTGGCCAATAGACCACAACGGCTCGGTTTATCCATTAAATATGTAATTATACACTTTTTTCTTTACAGTGCATCTTATTTATGCATCAGAGCAGAACAAGTCCAGAAGTGCAATTATGGATATGGGACACATGCTGCAAACGCTCATGAAAATTTGCAGGAAAAAAACAGAAACCTGAGCCCTGGCTCACAGAATCCCTGCAGAAGCCTCCTGCTGACAGCAACCCAACCACAGCCCTCTCTTTTTAAAAAGCAGAGACACTGGCATTTTTCCTGGGACTTCCCCCCACCCAGAGGCCTCCTCCCAAGCAGCTATTTCCTCACATCATTAAAAACTGGTGGTTCTACTTAGCAAAATTACAAGGGGTAATGGATTTAAACTGGAAGAGGGCAGATTGAGATGAGATCTGAGGAAGAAATGTTTTCCTGTGCGGGGGGTGAGGCAGTGCCCCGGTTTCCCAGAGAAGCTGTGGATGCCCCATCCCTGGAGGGGTTCAAGGCCAGGCTGGATGAGGCTTTGGGCAACCTGGGCTAGTGGGAGGTGTCCCTGCCCATGGCAGGGGGTGGCACTGGATGGGCTTTAAGGTCCCTTCCAACCCAAACCGCTCTGTGATTCTATGTTCTATGAAAATATTGCTGGTTCTGACCCCCTCCTACCCTCTCCCATGTCTCCAGCCCCCGCCGCCCCTCTTTTATTTTTTTTTTTTTTTTTTTTTTACCACCCCGGTTTTGCAGGAGGACGCATGCGACTATGCTCCCTGTGTGCAACCTGGCTGACCACTGTCTGGGGGGCGGGCAGGATCTGCCCCCACCATTTGCCACTCACTACATTTCTCTCTATTTCCCTTTTCTGTTTTGAAAACATACAGTTTTGGAACAACACACCAGGGTTCCACCTCCCCATAGCCCCTGCCCGTGGCTGCTGATGTCCTCAGGTCTGGAGAGGACAAGCGGTGGAGAAGACATTTGCGTTCTCCAGATGTAAAATGTTTGGGGTGAAAATGAAGGTGAGCATTCATATGTTAGGGGTGTTCCCAAAGTACCTAATACCCCCCACCAGGAAAGACCCAAGGCAAGAGCAGCCCAGGAGCAGGATCTGGAGATGCTCCCCTGCAGCAACCTGCCTGATGAGACAAGCAAACGATGGATGAAACTGCAATGATGGCAAACCAAAGTGAGAAGGGAACGAATGCCACGTTCCCCCTGAGATAGCAAACAACCTCCTGGGGGATGTAACCCCTGCTGCGGGCTCACCGGAGCCCTGCGGAGCCCAACGGAACCAGATGGGTAATTAAATACCTGTCCCACCAGCGTGATTAGCTCCATCCCCGGGAGGAGCGGCTCCAGGAGCCGGGTCAGGTACCGTCTCCATCCCAGTACCAGCTCGCTGTGAGGTGCTGAAAAGGCTCAGGACATGTTTGCAGCCTCCGCTGAAAAGATGCTTTGCATCTCAGAGGAAACGTGAGTGAAATGTGGTGTAGTTGTCACTAAAGTAATTAAGTGCATCTTACTTAGCAGATTCCCAAAGGCTGCGCTAACTCAAAGACAGCTTCTTTTTTTTTTCTACAGTATTTCAATTTTTTTAATGAATATGCATATCAGGCCTATAAACACTCCAGCTAATCCTAAGAAGGAGAGAAAAACGTGCTGACAAACGGCACATGCTCGGCGCTCCGTGTTTCAGGGGAGGAGGGTGACCCTGCGCGGGTGACAAAATGCCACGAGGAAGAGCCTGGCTGGGGCCCTGGGCACTCTGAGAGCAAAGATAATGTTTCGAAACATGCTATTCATGTTAACTGCCCCCCCAAATTCCTATGGCAG